GGCGGCAAGTCGAAATGGGCGCTTTGAAAATGCTCAGGCCTGTGTGAAACCCGCCACCCCAAAAACCTGCAGTGTCTTGTGTCCGAACCTCTAGGCCCTGTCCGGTGGGGTGAAACGACACTGAAAAATCACCCCATTATTTTTCAAGGGGCGGCCGGGACCCGAAAAACGGCCTGGGCCGCCCCTTTATTTTTTTTCGGTGTTTGCCCTGGGGGCCTCCATCCGGACATAAGGACCGGACACCGGACACCGGACACAGGGCATGTTGTTCCGGACTGTTTGGAACCTGCTCCAGACGTCAGTCGGTTACCATGCTTGAAACTTGAAAGTCTCTTTTTTTTTTTTTTTTTTTTGTTGAGCCTTGAAAGTCTTTACATGGATACCGCCTTGAAAGCCGGTGCAAGATCACAAAGGAGCGTACAGATACAGTGAACCAAACATACATAGGTGACCCTTTTCTTGTTTTTTTGCAAACATAAGGACCTAATGGAACCAATGGCACAGAGAGTTTAAAACTGGGTGCTTTTTTTTTTTTTTTTTTTTTTTTTTTTTTTTTGAAACTGTGATCACAGGATGAGGAGAAGTAATAAAAGAGAATGAGAAGACCTCAGGAGTGCATGAGAAGAAAGAATGTCGTACCATTTTAATAATATTTGCATGGCGCGCGATTCTGCCGAACTCTTTCATTTTCTGAATCCTCTCCTTCTGAAATATTTGAGCCGTGCTGACAATCATGATGCGTAGGTGAAGCAAAACATTTTTTGAGAAGACAGAAAAAAAAACAAAAACAATGGTTAATTCAAATCAATTGATTCATTAACAAAATCGAGAAGTGGAAATTCCGAAATAGTCACTAATAGTGGCAAATTGTTAAGAAAAGAAAAAACCCCAAAAGTTCCAAAACAACTTAAAAATAAACTAAAATTGTAATAATAAATTAATAATAATAATCAATTTATAACCTAGGCTTCCATAGTGCCCCGGCGGCCACATGTCCCACTTGCACCGTTGAGTTGAGCTAGCTCAACGGCGTGACACTCGATTGGGGCTTTAATATTTCGTTGAAATGTGCAAAGTGTTTTTTTAATCGCTGTTTTGACCATTTCCTCCGTGTCCAAACACGAAAAAAAACAATCAATATATTATTTGTCAGTTTATGGCTTTTTCAAGTTTTTCTTTTTCTGTTTTTTGAATTTTTTTCCTTTTCAAAGAAGCCTGTGCCTTTTTGGAACCCAATAATGTGAGGGATTCACGGAGTCTGAGCAGTGGCAGACCCCACAACTCAGACCCCGAGATCTCCGAGCGCAGAGAAGGCCACAGGATCGGAGAGAGGGTGGGACCGTAGATTCCTACTGTAAAAAAAAAAAAAAAAAAAAAAAAAAAGAGAAACCTTCCTGGTGGGAGGTTTCATTCATGATGTACGTAACCACATCCCTGCACGACATACATCCCAAAGAAGATTATTGGCACTGACCCTGTGGACTACCGTCTTCCCCCGAACACAACGCACCCTTATTTTGGCTGTATCTGGCCGGAAATATAGCTTGTATACATTCATTTTTAGGGTGCATTATGTTGGGGGGAAGACGGTAGAGATACAAGGATGGGCAATCGTGTGACAAGCGGAAATCGCGGATGACAAGGTGTCAGAGAATGATGACGGCGAGTGAGGCAGCCTGGCGCGCACACCGTTGAGCTAGCTACCCCTCTTCCAGAAAGGTGGTAGCTAGCTCAACGGAAGCGGGCTAGGGTAGGGGGCGTTGTATTCGGGAGGAGCGATTTTCAATCGCTTATCCTAGTACTTAAAAAAAGCAATCCAACTTTCATTTTCCTTTTTTACTGAAAATCTGACCGCCCGATGGACGGTGAGAGAACTCCTCTCCTGGGTGCCAGTCCCTCTAGCAGCGTTGAGCTACCTCAACGCCTGAATCTGGACGCTTTTGCGGAGATGAGGTAGCTCAACGCTGCTAGTGAGACTTGGCCCCTGGGTCGCCCCAGGTCACACACGATAGAAAACTCAGCGTTGAACTTTACTCAAACGCTGCAAGTGGGACATGGCCCCAGGACCACTTGCCCGGCCGGGTCAGGAAATTTAAAAAAAAAAAAAAAAAAAAAAAA